ATACAGTATATACTTGACCTCCATAAATGCACTTTTTCTTATTATTCTCTATATGCACGTCATAAAAGTGTGGTCCCAAGGGCGTGCACTTAGAGAGGTCTGACTGTAATTGTTTTAAGCAGGATTTTTAAAGATAAGTTTAGTGAATCGAAAATCATTGCACGCATGTGACATATTTCATTGGATTCATCTGACCGCCAGAGCCAGACATTGAACTTTATTAATTAAAATTTTATTGATGACATGCAGCAGTAGTGTACATCGTTGCGCTTGATGCACAAGCCGAGACTAGCTATGTTCCCGGAAATAGCAACTACAATTTGCGCTGGGTATAACCGTCATCAGCATCACTCGTAATGAGTATCATCAGCTGGTGGTTTCCCACACTGCATAAAGCAGGCCGACTGGACATGAATTTTAATAAAAATGACAAAAAATGGCAGGATTCCCTGATGCCCCTTGGGCGGGAGGGCCAGGTGCGAACTCACTATCGCACTTTACAAGTTATCTAATCGTGTACAGGCCTCATCCCGATTTAAATAAAGTTATCATTAGTAAACATTCAATAATTCCAAATAGGGCAGTTAATTTATCTTGCATGTGTTATCGTTTCTTGCTTCATACTAACGCCACCGAACTGATTTTTTGCCAGTTGCCTGTTTTGGCAGCTTGCTGGCCTGCCCCTGCTTAGCCTGTTTTCGATCTGTTGACTTACTTTAACTCGAATGAAAATCATTGCACGCATGTGACATATTTCATTGGATTTATCTAACTGCCAGAGCCAGACATTGAACTTTATTAATTAAAATTTTATTGATGACATGTAGCAGTAGTGTACATCATTGTGCTTGATGTACAAGCCGAGACTGGCTATGCTCCCAGAAATAGCAACTACAATTTGCGCCAGGTATAACCGTCATCATAATGAGTATCATTAGCCGGTAGTTTCCCACACTGCATAAAGCAGGCCGACTGGACATGAATTTTAACAAAAATGACAAAAAATGGCAGAATTCCCTGATGCCAATGGTACTCGAATCCTGCTGTTTTTGTCACGCTTTATTGTGGGGGGTTTTTTTTTTGTACGTTATTATATTATACATTTATTTCTGATTTCAGCATTACTTCACCTTACACCCTCTCTTTTTTCTCTTTTTTTTCTTCTTTTTCTGTCCTTTTGCTGAGCCGCCCTTTTTATCCTTCTCTTCTCTCTTTCCTTCATTTCATTCATCATCATTTTATTTATTTATATATATATATATACATTCTTGTTAACGATTAGGAATCCAAAGGTATATGTATGTCTCGATCATTAACATGAATATGCTTTCCTTAATATTGATGCTATTGCTGCTAGGTGTGTTCTGATGTATTTGTAAAAGGCGTCAAATGACCATCTGCCTATTCTTTGGATTAGTGGCAGCTACACACTTCGCATTACCAGCTCCATGGTTCCTCCTGCTCAGAAACTATGTCCGGCTATGTCAGAATCTGGTAAAAGCAATTTGAGGGTTTCTATGAACCATTTCTTTGTTGCTAATTTTTTATTGCTTCTGGTGAATAGTAACTTTCTCCCCAGAGCATATGTTGGTTTTAGTTCTGATAACTGTGTATACTTTCAATACTTCAATTGGGCACAGTCCGTCCTTGGTTGAATTAAGAATTAGGATGAGGCACTCTGTTACTTTGTATATCTTTGTTCTAGGCAATTGTATCGTTGCGAAAGTGTCATCATCTTGTTTCTCGAATTTCAGTACCTGTATTGTGGGTACCTTTCCTACTCTGATTTTGATAACAGCTCGCCTAAGCATGCCAAGCCATAAAACGCCACCAATACAATTGACCAAAATAATATATCATCCAGTTCTTTATTATTTATTTTTGTTTTAATCTGCCTTAGATAGTCACATGTAATATGATCTTTTTGTTTTGTAGATCTGAATGTATGATTTGCCTCTACAGTTTTTAGTAATTGCTTTATCAACGGATTATAATATATCTCATCCCACTCTTGATAATTCATAGTGTGGTGGTGTTTTAGTGCTGACAAACTTGATATTATGGTTTGGGGCGACTTTTAAGTGTAAATGCGTTATAAAACTGGTAAGATTTATTTTCGAAATCAGCCATATTGATTTGTTTTTATTGGTCTATTTGTTCTCTTTTGCTAATACTTCATACCATTTAATGATTACTTTGTAGGTTTTGTATTTTAATGCTTCTGTGCCTAGAATTACTGCTGCTTGTTCATTTAGTGATAGTTTGTCTACATTATTGCCGTGTCCATACTGTTTTGCTCTTTTTCTCTTATTGCTTGTTGTGGTTGTTTTGTTTTGCCCTACAAATTAAAGAATAATATTTTTGTTATTATGTTAGTATAGATTGTAGGAATTATGGGTTGTAAATATCATGCCCATGGATTTTGTGCTCTATATTGTATGTAACCTCCTCATGATAATAAATTTGCGTCTTTGTTATCTTTGCCCAGGATATGTTCTAGTTTGACAAAATAATTGCCCCATATCTGGGCCATATACATACTTGCTATTATGTTGTTAATGATTAAATTTTTACAAAACTGGCATAGTACAACTCGGCATTAGCTTGGTTATCAGTTCAGATGATTAATTGTTTGTGTAGCCATAATGGTGAAAATGTAAGCATTGCCATAAGACACGTTAGTAGCTCTCTCACTTGTATGTTGCAGTCCAGTATATCAATTTTTTGAGACCAGCTAAATGCTGTAAAGTAAAGGCCAAATGTTGCACCTTTATTCAATTTCGATGTGTCAGTATATAGATTTTGCATGTCCGAATATAACCAGGCTCTATCTTCTATCAAGTATGTTCCCGGCCAATTGGGTAATACTTTTAGCCACCAGCTTATGTCCGCCTTCATTAGGCTAGTTATATTCATATGGAATTTTGAGTTGTGTGGGCGGTCTATTTTGATTTTGAGAACATTGAGGAGGCTCTCAAGTTTTCCGATAAAGCATTGGACAAACAGTCTACCCTGTGGCACCACTTGGCACAACCACATTAGTGAGCCTACTATTAATTGTATCTCCTTCTTGTAGCACCATTCTTCTTGTTCTACTTGGTAAGTAATTCTATTATTTTTTGCTTTTTTGCTTCAGGTATCGATGCCAAAAATGTTATTGTATTAACCTTAATGCCTAAAAACGTTAGTTTAGTTGCAAGTTCCTTGAGTTTAGATGGTTTGTAGAGAATATTTAGTGTCTCTAATATGGTGAGGAATTGTTGTAGTTCTTGTAATGCATCTACTTTAGATATAATCAGAAAATTGTCAATGTAATAAATTATCGATTTTATCCCGTATAGTACTGCTATCCAAGCGAGAAGATCCGCAAAATAGCAAAATATGCCCCTAATACTCTATTCCTGAAAGCTAGTGCTTTGTCGAAATAAATTTTCTCTTCGTGCTGCAGCCCTGCAATACTTGATCTGCCGGGTAAACTAGTAGTATACGGTATGCGTTCTGGATATCAATTTTTGACAACTAGCAGCCACGCCCATATTCTATTATCCATCAAATTGCATGGTTTAGATTTTCATATTTAGTTGCGAATTCTGTAAGGTCTATACCATCATTAATGCTCTCCCCCTGTGGGGCCGATAAATAGGATATTACTCTGTATACCTTAAGATTCGATCCTTTTTTCTCTACTAACTCACACAGGTTGATTTGAAATGCCGAACATAATAAATTGTCTAATGTAAATGGGCCACACATCTGTCCTAATACTATTTCGTTTTTTATATACTCAGTTAGTGCCGATGGTTCTATGCTTAATAACTTTAGATTGTCTTGTATTATAATCGTTCTTTTTTTAAAAAAATTAAATCTGAATCCTTTCGTTATTCCGTTGTTAATATATTGAATAAATGCTTGATTTGGATAATCTAATTTGTTGATGGAGTCTTTATATTGAACTAGTTGGGGTCTAATTGGGCGATTATTTTGTTTTCTTCTTGTGAAATTAGAGCATCTAATGGGAGATATGCTCTGATTGTATAGTTGACTGACTGTAATATTGGTTTTTTGATTGTGGTTATCACTCTAGCTGCCTTAAATTGTGACCCGTATTTCAGTTTCAATACTCTACTATTGAATGTGGCTATAAAAAATTTTTAATTAGTTAGTCCTCTTTTTTTATATATATATATATATACAATATATTTATTTTATTTTATTTCAAATTTTTTTTTTAATTGTTATTACTGCGCTAACCATTTCTCTGCGTTCCTGTGTTTGATACTGGTGCATTCCTTAGCTTGGGGTATTTCTGGAAACAATTCTTTTCTTTGTGCCCTAGCTTTTTATATACTATACACGCGTGTACTCTGCTGCAGTTACCTTCATGCATGCATACTCTTTTGTTCTATTCAATGCATATTTTTCTGCTATCATTCCATGTTGTGTTAACCCAGTTATTATAATGACCTTCATCTCATTCTCTTTTTATGGCTGCCATATCGAAGTTTTTCTCTTCTGCTTCGATATCCCTCTCTATCAGTGTTGAGTCCTGATTCAATACTAATGCAACTCTACAGTTTTCATTATATGCCATCACTGCTGAAAATTTATATTTGGTGCATAGCTCGTTGATATAATCTCGGTACATATTCAATTCTAATTCATGATTCCCATATACTATAAGTACTGCGTCTATATATGCTTTGAATGCTATTAACCAATCTGAAATATTTTCCAATGCTATATTTTGTTTCTGTTTTTTGATTATTACTACTCCACTCTCAGATATTTGTAAGACTATATCTTCTTCTAATACTTTTACATTATTGATAAAGTTTTTCTATACAAATTCTTGTAAATTTGTGAATAACCCTAAGGCTATTATTTTCCACTTTTTGTTTGACAAACTGGGTTTTTTTGGTAACATCTCTATTTTTCTTTGTCCTTTGGGCCAATTGGATACCCACTATAAGCATATCTGCTCTGTCTTGATTGCTTTCTCATTAAGAAACTCTTGAACTGCATGTGTATTGTTCTTGAATATACACAAATGATAGGAACTTTCTGCTTGTTACTTTATATGCTATCGTCTCGGGGTTGTCCGCTGGTTTGTTGCTCTGGTCCTCTATATCTGGTGCCAGTATTAAATTATTTATTATGGGTGTTGGAGAATAATTACCTTGTGCTACTCCATTGTTATTACTCGAATTAATGATTCTCTGTAGATTGTTTTCCGACTGTATATTATTTGAACTCGCTTCTGGTTGGTTGTCATTATTGATGTTAGGTTGATCTATGCGCATGAGCTTTTGGTTAATAGTTTCTAATATTTGTGCATTCCATTGATGTTGGGCCTCTGCTTGTTGATTGAGAAGTTGCTGCATTTGCTGCATCAATAAAACTGTCACTGCTTAGATGGTTGAGTCGATATATGATCTCATTCTTGGTTAAATATTTATTATCAAATCTTTATTTTCTTGATTGTCTCCCATCCCAATAGTCTCAACTAAACTACCAGAGATCGTACTGTCACTTCTGCTTGTGCTGTTGTTTCGTGTTTTTTGTTTATTGGACATTATTAATATTATTTTTTCTTTGCTTCTCTTTTTTTTTTTTTGCAAACTCGCTATCGCACTTTATGAGTTATCTGAGTGTGTACAGGCCTCATTCCGATTTAAATACAGTTATCATTAGTAAACATTTAATAATTCCAAATAGAGCAGTTAATTAAATAATTCTTATCTTGCATGTGTTATCATCTGTGATCCAGGTTTCTTGCTTCATACTAACGCCACCTAGAGGTCGGAACCGTTATCTGCTTATCCGGATATCTGTATAGTTAGCACATATCCGGATACCATAAACGGCTTAC